GGGAAAGTTGTGAGTAAATGGATATGTATAGGAAAACAGTTACAAATTATGTTCTTTATTATGTTCTTTGCTCTTTTAGCAGGGCCTGTAATTAACTGGTATTTTGTGTTTAATCTTTCTCTTCACAAAACTGTTTTGAGCCCAATGGCCAACAAAGTTTAGGGAAAAATACTTTGTCCCCCCCCCCCCCTCCCCCTTAACCTGTTATAAACTAAATATATTTAAGATATAGTCTCACAGAAAATTTTGAGCTATTAAACTTTGTCTGACTCAGGGCAGATTTTTCAGCTTGATGTAAAAAGGCCAGAAACTGAATTTCACTAGCTAAACATGGGTCCCCCTTAACCAGGTAGGAGTCTTCAGCTAGTATAAAGATGATTTATCCTCTACATCTAGCATTGGAAAAGACTAGAACTGGAAGGAGATGTGTTCAGATTGCTTTTATGCTCCAACTGTTCCCCATGAGAGAATGGATGACATATGGCTGCTTAGTGGCTATTACTGGCTGTTGGAAATCAGAGCAACCTCCCCATAGCTTAGGTCTCAATATCAGGAATTAAAAAACAAACAAGCAAACCTAAAGCAGGGAATACATAACAAAAAGAAAAATCTTTAAATTTAAATAGCTGTGTTTTCAAATCACATGTTTTTATTTGTGTGTTTTTGTTTCATTCATATTTCTTGCCATGATTCTGAAGAGTTTCGGCACTGTACGGGGGGCAACAAAGACGTTAAACTGTCACAGCGGCAAGTACTGACCAAATGCTTGAAAAACCCTCATAGGCATAGTAAAAGATCTGTTGTTGGTTCCTGCTAAGGGTAAGCACCATCTCATCTTCTTGGGATGGAGTAGTAACACTCATAAGAAAGGAATGGGAGAGAAGTAATGGTTGTTTATCAGTTCCTATTGTGTGATCATATAATACTAATGTATTTAGCTTAACAAAATGTTAAAGAGGGAAGCTCAAACTTCTAATATAAAGCATGAATTAAATAAGATAAGCTTCCTAATATTTTCTTTATGTTTTCCCCTATCTTTCATGATGTTTTCCAGACATTATAGTGTTAGGACTCATTCCTTTTATAGAATGTTTAATTTTCATATGTTGCCTGCTGTTATCCCTAGAATACTAGAAGTATAAATGGTTTAAAATAGTGCTTGGTACTGACACACCCTTGTGTGATTTGACAATGTTGCATATCTAAAGACAGATCCGGTATGTATTCTGTGGTCCCAGTTCATGGTTATCCTTCACTTTCTGTAGTTTTTTTTCACAGATATAGATTAGTGATAAAATATGATGAGATCAGAATGGGAACACTGCATTCAGTTTACCTTGCTGGTGTTTCAACATTATACCAGTATCTTATCAGAACAGGAAGTAGGGCTAAGAAACCAGCTGAGATGAAACAACAGAATCTTGGAATTAGGAACACAGTTTTGCCCTTGTATAATTGGGTTGTGATGACGTATACCCAGATATAAGATGATAATGGACCTGGCCCCAATAAATGGGGAATTACAGAATATAATTTTCTAATGTTTTTAATGCAAGAGTTTTGCTTAGATAGAAATGTAATGTTAAGTACATAGTTATTTTTATCTGCTCTTTCAGGGGGTTTACTTCCTTTCTTTTTCTGTTATGCAGCAGCAGCTACCAAGGGAAGCAGCTAAGCTGACACCTCCTTTTTTTTTCTTGCTGCTTTAACAAATGTGCAGCTCTTCTTTGCAATGGTAAACCTGAGGGTTGTAGTTTTTTTCATTTAGGGTCTAAATGTAAATAAGACTGCCTTTAACTCTTGCAGTTTTCTGTGCCTGAGTTTCTATTTGTCTCCTCTCACTTATTTTGGCTTAGATCTTATTTAATAAACTAACTAAGCCTGTAAAATGAACAAATGTGAATGAGAAACTATTTCAAATGTGCATGCACATGAATTTCATAGATTTTTTTTTTCTTTGTGGTTGTAGCTCTACAAACATTCTTGGTGAATATGCTTATTGTTTTGATGAGACAGTAGGATGTAACCACCATTTAGAACCTGGGTTTCTAGAAGTAAAAGCTAGTACATTAATTCACTAAACTAAACTTGTATTTTTTGGTCACTCTGAGGTTACAGAAACAAATAGCCTCCATATTAATTTTAAAAAGTATCTGGTAATCATCTTGCAGCAGATTAATTATTTTAAGTATCTTAGAATATCTTATTTTAGAAAAACCATTAAATGTATTCTTTCCATTGTAGGCCTCAGTACCATAGAGAGTTCAAATGAGTTTGAAAGGCAGTAGATTGCTCAATACCTCATACTTTTCCTGGATTAAAGGGATATTGAATACTTAAATTAATCACCATTAAATTAATCTGCAATGGCAGAACCTTAAACTATTATATAATAAACTGTAGTTTCTGCTCCTTTTATATATAACCCATTGTTTTGATGTCTACATATTATTTTATTGGCCAAGTTTCTTTGAGCAAGGGCAGGAACATATGCTGTGTGTAAATGTGTTCAAATTTTGACAGTCATAAGTATATTCACTTTTATACAGTGCAGACTGCAAACATTCCCGTCACTCAAATAACTGAAAAATGCTTAGAGCCAAAATGACTGTAGGAATGAGGCTGAAACCCTGAAAAAGCTAAAATTCTTGTTCTATTTTAAATGTTGCCTGCTTTTTAAAAAACATTTTGGTCTTTATTTTTGTATTTATTTTTTCCAAACCCTAAAAAACACAATAGACAAATCCCAAACAAATGCCTCCTGAAACTGTGACCAAGAAAGCGCACACAATCAAATAGACTAGCACATGACTTCTCTTCCCCAAGAGACCTGTCTGGCTCCTGTGACTCTCATGAGGCTTTAATAATGAACAAAGAATATTATATACTCAGCAGCTAGCTCAACTAAAAGTATTTTTGAACTGGTTTCTTCCCTTGAAAATACTGTATATTTTGTTTTCTTTCACACAGGAGGCAATTTTGTAAACATTATATTAAATTGTTTAACATTTTAAAGATTTTACATATACATTCATACATGTACACATACAAGGATGCATATTCTATAATTAGCCTTCACAATATACAGAAATAGCTCTGCATTTTGGTTCATTGTAATTTGTATACAATTTGCAGATAACTTTCCAGTTACTTTAGTGAACTCTAGTAAAATCTTAAGGCATTTATG